TCCTGTCTAATGCCAAATGTTTACTTGTTTGCATTTACTGGAGCAAGTGGAGGTTTTATTGTGACTATTTTAATTATCTTTTCAGGCATTTTGATGGAATAGAATATAAATGTACATATTGAGGCATTAAAATGAACTGAGTAACTGATTTTACATTACAATGGTTATCCAGATCGGATTTTATGAGCCTGCTGCAGACAATGAAGTAATTTTCCTGTGGAAGATCATTGTCTACCATGAATCACATTATGTAATCTGGCTTGGTTTTTGTTAAATTACGTTAAGTTATAACAGAACAGGGAAAATATTTTATTAGCAGCTTCTCACAGGAACACTTTCCCCTGTCTAAATGTGGCTCAGCGTGACGTGTGCAGATCAGGTTTGGCTTAGACTCCTTTGGCTGTGAGGGAGAGTTTCCTCTGAATATCCTGTTCTTAAAATGAGATCTAAAACATGAGGGAAAGAGGAAAAGCAGAGTAAAGTGTCGATAGCATCTGTTTAATTTAGTGGCAAACACAACAACCCAGGGAGGATTTTCTGACTCTGCAGCTTGTTGTTTTTGTTTTTTGGCTTGTAAGTTCACTGCTTCATTTCCCCCACTGCTCTCACTGTGTCATTATCAGCAGGCAGATGTTTTGTGGCAAATGTAGGATGTCCTGCTAAACCATCTAAATCTAACTCCTCTTTGCAAGTCTAGAAATAGGCAGAAGAGGAGACATGGGGAAAAAAAGGGATTCCAAAAACCCCATCAAGCACAATGAAACATGAGAGAAAACAGACGAACCCCCAAATTTATGTCAAACCCGGCCAAGGCAGCCCTAATGAGCAGATACAGCATCCAAAACAGTGAGCGGTTTATTCAGCACATGCGTGTGGACTGGCATCAGGAAAAGAGAGAATAAAACAACAAACAGTGGGTCTGTGGTGGCGGGAGAAGGGTCCAAAACCTGATCTACCCCTCTGCATCATACTGAAAATGACTGCGTGGTACCATGACACCGACTTACTGTAAACTCTACTTGCGTCATAAGAATGGCAGCAACAGAGGCAGTGCAGATCCTGCTTCTGGAAGGCTGCCATCTTTGTTATGGTCTGCTGACCAATCAGAGGCTGTATCCACAATCAGCTGACCCAATCAGAGGCCCGGTTTCCTTTCTTCAGCAGGGCAGTGGAAGTAATGGAACTATGTTCTTAAAAACTGATATAGACCCACTTTATCCCACACAGAAAATTTACAGGAAATGATAACAAATTGGATTGATAAATTGAACTGATATTGGCATTTGTATCATCAAAATCCCATGAAATCCTGTCCCTAATCTTAGGTCTGGATCAAGTACTTAGAGGTGGAGGTAATGGATGGACGGATGGACAGACAGATGATTCAGACTCAGTTTATCAGGGGCTGAGCTGACCCGGACCTCCCAAGGTGATTAACCAACTTCTAACAAGTATCTCATACAACCAAAACAATAATAGTTAGCCTTTTAACTTAAACCGGGATGCTCACGTTGCCGCCAAGGTGCCATATGGGGGCTTACCAAGGGTGAGTAAGAAAACAGCATCCAGAAAGATGGGGCTGGCTGGTCACACCAGAGACCGTGAGAACTCCCAACCATTAAATTTGGTGCTTTGAAGGCCAACAAATAAGCATTCACTGCAAAGTTGTCCACTATCAACATATGTGGGTGCTCTCATGAGAGACACTAAGGCAGAAAACGTTGGCAAGCTAGCGAAATGCAGGGAAGGTGACTGGAAGAGTGACAGCTCAAGATGACCAAATTAATAAACCCCAAAACATTATTGCCTCTAAATGTAAAAAAAAAAATCAATAGTTTACAACCAGTTTGCCATAAAAAGCTACATTTACCTGATTTTACTCAAAGTTAATATGCCTGTGCACATCTGTTGATGTAAAAGATAAACCTGAAAGTGTGTAATATGGAAAAAAAAAACAGTCTGTTTTTACAGTTTTATTTTCTGGCTCTTCTGGTAAACTCGCATTATAAAGTAATTTAAACAGACATTGAACTTCAAGCAGAATCGTCCTCCTAATAACATCACTAATAAATTCGACAGACTTAAATGTGGACTTTAAACTCCTGCCATAAACTAGAAAAGACAAGGACGAAAAAACAAGTAAAAAAAATAAAAGCATAAATCAGCCTTTCCCCTTCAAGTATCCCTTTTTTTTCAAGTGCTGTAACTCAGCAGTGCAGTGTAATCATCTATAAGGCTTCAGTAAGTGTTAGTGTTCAAGAGCTTGGACATCAGTATGTGGATTATTCTGGAATTATAGAAAAACTAACAGATGGAAACAGACTGAGGCTGAGCTGTGGTCATCTCTGATTTCTTTTAAAGATGACAAATAAGACAACTGCTGTGGCAGGACACTGTCACAGCACGACTTTTCTAATTCTCTGACCAGTTTTTGACTACAAAGAAGGAATGTCAAACAGTTGGATTTTTCAACTGCAATTAACTGAAGAAATTTGTTACGTAACTGTATTTGTAGTTGCACATTTAAAATCTTGTGTTTCATGTCTATATTAACGATGTAAAGCTCTTCTTAGCGGGATGTCTTGTAGATGAATCTGCCTGATTTTTTTGTTCCTAAAGGAGATTGTTTCTTTGTACCCTGTTTGGATCAGGCACTGAATGTGTAATGGACTTGGCTGGAAACAGGCCTTGGAAAAGCTCCTCGGTAAACCCACACGTCTCAGAGTTTTTGGCATCAAAACCAGCATCAATAAAAATTTGGAATTATTCATGATATCCACCAATTTCCTAAGATTTAGTATTCGCTGGCTGTTTGGTGTGATTTGCTTCAGTGGCAACTTTTAAAAAAAAAAAACATCTGTGGTTCAGGAAGCGTCTGCCGAGACTAACACCTACACTGCTGCAAAACAAGGTGTTAATTGGAATCAACAACTTTGCATAAATGTGTCAAAATAATCACTTGCAACTGCACCAGCAATTCTCCAGGCTTTAGCACTCATATTTTCTGCCATTTCTCAAGTTGTTTGGTTTGTTTCGAGCATAAAGTGGATTTTTTTTATGTGCAGTGTGTGTTGAAAGACACAAATCCCATGAAGAGTCAGAATCACACGCCATGCCACAAAAGCAAATCCGCGCAATTACAATTATAACAGTACCACTAACAGGGGATTAGGAATTAGCATTTGTTAGGCTGTACAGAGGATCCCAGCTTCACTCTGCTTGTACTTCTCAAACAGAGCTCAGCACAGACCGGACAGAGCTTCTTCTGGTCTCATCCCTGTGTGCGGTTTCTGGCACAGAGCAGCTGTGCCAAACCAACCTCACAAGAAAGTCCAATATTTGAACTTTTCACTCCACTGCAGCGCGGACTGGCTGTGGATTGGACCGGGTACCAGACAGAGGAATTACAGAAACTAGACAGGCTCCGTTACATGAACACTCCCTGTGTGTGTCTGCAAAACATTAGTTTCAAAAGTACCATAACAACTGTGCTATTTAAAGTGAGAAAGACCTTCCCCAGTGAATGTTTTTGTAGCACGTTTGTTTTGAAACTATTAAGGTTGAGAGATCGGCCACTCAGACGCAACAGGCAACAGCTGAATGGACTGACAGCCGGCTTGCTGTCACTACAGTATATGTTAGGAGTCTACAGGTACACCCCCTGCAGGTACTCTTAAAGTCTGAATTAGTCTGCAAAGAAAACAAATATATATGAATCTTTTTTATTGCACCATCTTACCTAGTCTTTGTGTCCAAATATATAGACTTATTATTTTTGATTATGTGTATGTACAGCAATTTCATGATTCATATGAACATGAAAAGGCATTTTTATAGGATTTATTTTCCTCTTTTTACTCCCCTTATTCTTTTACCTGGACTCAAACGATTGTAATAATGTATCTGATTAACATCTTGTCATGTACTTGACCCATTATTATGTCATCAAATGTTTTCCTTGAGCATGAAGTGTTTCTTTGTTCCAGCTGTCTGAAAGCAGCAGGATAATAAACCTGTCAGATGCACACAGCGTCTCTCCATTACACACAGTTGTTTACTGCATGTACCTGCATTAAATCATGTGTAAACACAACCAGCCTGCCAGAAAACAGCAGAAAACTCCACAAACACGTCGGGCACATCAGGCCATAACTCAGTAAGCTGCATGTCTTTGTGAGAGGAGTCATCCATCCAGGAATCGTTAATCACTGTAAGATTTGTAGCTTAAAATTTGTTGTTTCTTTTGTGGCCCATCTGTAATAACGGGAGGGGAGGCTTTGTGACCAGAGGGTTTCTACTTCAGTCTATGTGGTAGTCAGGACTGAAGTTGACCAATTAACTGAATGATGTAATTTTAAACTATCAGATTAATCATATTAACTCGCCTGCTACCTCGTCAGTTAAATACTTGGTGCTGATTGGTCAAACCCCCATTATAAGGATTGATCATTATGAATAGCTGGAGCAACAACAACTGGAACAACCACATTACACATGTCATATTAAATCAGTCCACAGAGGGGAGTATACAGAATATTCGTAAATTCACTACTTCCTGTTGATAATGCGGCAAAAACTTTTGTTTCTGACAGTAAAAATGTTGAATATTTGTAATACTTTTGTCGATTTAGAGACTTGAGATTTATGGTTAATGGCTGACTGTGTCACAATCCCTGTCTGTTAAGTTATCTGTTCCCATCCTTAGGTTTCATGTCTTGTGTTTCTTGTTTTATTTTAAAATTGCTAACCCTTTTCACAGTTTAACATTTACCTCCTGCCCTTCTTCCTGTCTTTTCACACCTGGTGTTCATTCCAATCAACTCTTCCTGTTCTCCATCACTTCCCATTACCTCCTGTATTTAACCTCACTCCCTTCACTGTCTTGTTGCCAGTTCATTGTACTTCATGTCACGTTCCAGTGCTCTTGTCCACAGCTCTCATTTGGTCCCTTGGTTCTGCCTCTTGCCTCGTGTTTTTTGAAAACCTCTGCCTGTGTGTATTGACGATCAGTATACTGAACTTCAGCCTGGATTGAACTCTGTTTTTGTGACCTGTGAATCGTTTCTTGGTACTCTGCATTCTGATCTCATGTTCCAGTGCCTGTGTATGACAGACTGGACCACCAAACTGTATCAGGTTTGGTCAAGTGTAAAGAAAATGCCAGCAGAAAAGTCACAGTGCTGCAGTTATGTACAGTACCATGCAGAAATACACCTGGACTACTTCTGTCTTTCTTTTATAAATTCATTTCAGGGTTTTTGTGCCCTTATTTTGGAAGGACGGGACAATAGTTGGCAGGAATTGCTAAAGAGGGAGCCCCCTCAGCAGCTCTGTCAAAAACAAACCCGCCTGGAGGCTGAAAAGTCTGTTTTTCTGCTCGTAATTTTCCTCCTTTCTGCACTTTTTTGATTCGGTGTGTCTTGGACAGTTCCTCCTCTAAGTGTTCTTTTGGAAATGAAGGACAGTCATGGCTTTTTTCTCTTTCCACAGACAAAGACACAGTGGGAGGTTTTAATGTTTTCTGGACAACAGCCGCATCAAAGTTTATTCTTGCCACTTCTCTGATGACTGCTATGTAAACATAGGCCTGTGAAAGCTGGATTTGCACCTCAGCCCCTATTGAAACCTGGAACCATTACATCTATAAAGACTTTCCATGAAATCTCTGGCTGTAAGTAACATAACAGCAGGCAATGTAACAACAGTTAATGTACACTAATGTGGCTAAACATGCTGCCACGGGGGTGCTGATCACCAACCTCAGACATTTTCTGTGAAGTCATAACTTAATGGGTCATTTTGTGAATACAAAGCTGTGTGAAAAGTTACACCCTCAACCCGTGTCCAATCTTATATGAGTGGAAATGCAGGACAAACAAAGTGTCAACAGTATGACATAAATAAGGGGGTTTGAGCTACAAATCATGCAAAACTGCTCTGCATTACATCCAGTGTCTGTCAGCCTTCTCCTCTTGTTTTCACGGTTTAGATATGATTTAATGTGCGTCTTCTGAAAATGACTTCCCTCCTCAACAACATTCACAGTGTAAACAATCATCAGGGTAATCATAGAAATTTTCACTCAATGAATGAAATATTGCGTCAATAAGAGGCTTCTCAAAGATTTGGGGTTTGATTGTCCACATGTCTTTGCTGCTGAGCTAATTTGAGAAGGCGTATGAGTTTATTCTCTAACAGCTGAGCAAAAGAGAATCATTTACTAGAGAAATTGCCCGTAACAAAATTAAATGCCTTTTATGCCTTATATTATTCTTTAATTGTAATTCTACCTCTTGAACATTTTTCTTAAGAGAGCCGTCAGACAACTGTGCTGTCGATTCATACAAATCTTAGCCTGGAGCTGCTCCCTGCTGACAAGCTGTTTTGATCACATTATGATCATCTCTTTTACATTACTACATGCTCAAGGGAAAGGAGCCTCCCTGCTGTAACACCAGCTCTCCTACTGCTGTCATGCCGTGGTAAATTTTAGTGTCATGTTGTTTTGGACATGGAAATTAACCAGATTTTGGATGGTGTTTGATAATCTCATGAAAACTTGATTCTGCCAGCAAAAGAGCTTAGATAGAAAAGACCTGCAGCAGGCTCAAACTCAAACAAAAACACACTATAAATACACTATATCTTTTTTAGTATTAAACTCTGAGTGAGCCACATTCAGTCATAGTGATTTATAAATGTCTCCTGCAAAAGCTGTCTCAGAAGGGTAATAAAAAACTGTTTTATAAAGCACCTTCAAAACCGAGTTCACAATGTGCTCTGACAGACAAAACCAAACTGCCTGACAAAAAAGGAAATATAACAAAAGAAACCCAAAAGGTCAGGCAAGGAGACAAATACAGAACACAGGAGATGCCACTGATAAGGAATAATACAAGACAAATGTATTTTGTAAGAGGAGAAAAAAAGAGAGAAAATCCAATTTAAAAAAAGTGTAGAAAATGGATTTTTTTGGGGGCGCTACTTTTAAAAGTTCTTGATCTGGGAGTGCAGAGGCCAACACAGGCCAAACTGATCCATCAGTGGGACCAAGATCGCTCTGTTGTGGAGGTTAAGACAGCAATTAGCAGTCTATAACATGGTGTATAATTTTTAAATGATGTGACAAGGCTAGTGGTGCCTTTTGTCCTCCTCACAGGTTAACCTGCCTGCACGTGTTAGGTCCTGCTCCAACTGAATGTCATCTGTGCTTGTTTACATCTCAGCACCAGAGCTTTACAGCATTCTGTAAGTAGCTATTAACCCGAGCCACAGGCCCGAATCGTGGGGGTGGATGCTCTACAGCTTAGACACAATGTATGACAGTAGGTATAGAAATATTAAAAGATGGCAATAGAATAACCTAAGCCCACAAACTGTCCACTTGATCCGATACCCTCACATCTCCTGTAGGCGATTGAGCCCACAGTCAGCCCTGCTGTAACACACATCACTAACTCCTCTCTGTCAATGTTTTTTTTTTTTTTTTGCATTGTTTTGCATTCAGGCAAGCAAGTGTCAGACCATTGCTCAAAAAATCCACTTTCAACCCAGCCTTTGTTGCAAATTAGAGGCCGGTCTCCCTCCTTCCATTCCTATCAAAAATACTTGGGCACACAATTCAGCTGGCTCCCAGTCTACCTACAGAACTATGATCTACTTGATCTGAATCAAACTGGCTTTTGGCGGGGCCTCTCTACTGAAACTGCTCTTTTGTTTGTAAGGGAATCGCTGCACTTGGCTAAAGCAGTTGGTCAGTCCACAGTTCTTTGGCTGCTGGATCTTTCTGCTGCCTTTGACACAGTGAGCTACCAAATCCTCCTCTCTACACTCTCCTCACTTGGTATCTCAGGGTCTGTCCTCCAGTGAGGAGAGTGTAGAGAAGAGGGAAATCTTTTAGAGTGTTATGGAGGGGAGAGGTGTTCCATATGCATGGTTTATCAACAGGGGTGCATCAAGGGTCAGATCTTGGTCTCCTCTTTTTCCAAATATACACCACATCACTTGGTGGAATCATGCGCTCCCGTGGCTTTTCCTATCACTAATATGCAGATGATACACAGCTCTTCTTGTCTTTGTTCACATGACGACACAACTGTCTTAGCTCAGATCTCATCCTCCCTTGCTGATATCTCTAAATGGATGAGGTAAAACTGAACTAATCATTCCAGCCAGTCCCACTGTGGACCCACAGCTCAATATCCAGTTTGAATCTCATAACCTCAGTCCTACCAAATCTGCCTGAAATCTAGGTGTCATGGTTGATGACCAGCTAACCTTCAGGGTTCATGTTGCCTCAATTGCCTGGTCCTGCAGATTTGCCCTCTAGTACATCAGGATGATCAGAACCTACCTGACAAAGCATGTAACACAGCTCCTGGTACAGGCTCTTGTAATTTCATGCATTGACTACAGTATCTCCTTACTGGCAGACCTCCCTGCTTGCACAGTTAAACCTCTGTAAATAATCTAGAATGCAGCAGCACATCTGGTCTTCAACCAGCCAAAGACAGCTCATGTCACTCCTCTGTTCATCTCTCTTCACTGGCTTCCAGTTGTTACTCACATCAAAAAAAAACCTCCAATTGTTGCTTACAAAGCAGTAATTAAAACTGCTCTGGTTTACCTGGAACCCCACATCCAGGTCTACACCCCTTCCCGCCCACTAGGTTTAGCCACAGCAAGGTGCCTGGCACCTCCAGCTCAATTTATATCTTCAGATTGTTTTTTCATAGTTATCCATGACTGAACTTGACAACAGTCTCTTCCTCTGCTTTTTACATCTGTAAAACTGATGACATACAGGGGATACTTGAACTTATGAATGCCTCGTCCATTAATTTTTTTTAAACCAATGAAATCTTAATTAAACCCAATTACCCACCATTTGAGGTGTTGCAGAATATTCCTGACATAAAACTGACTAGATTGCCAACATTATTCCCTGTAGTGAGGGCAATTAAGAAAACAAGGTTACAGCAGAGTGTGTGTGTATGTATGAATATATTACCGTGGCACTTTAACCCCATCTGGCATTAATTTGAGTGCTGATTGAAGACTAATGAATCAGATTTACAGGCTGCTATTACATTTCCAACAGCTTTTTGGAGCATTAGTCTATCATGTTCAATCATCTTTGTTACAAGTCTACGATTTTCTCAAGGGGACTGAACTTTGTAGAGGGAAACAGATACCCTAACATGCACCAATTAACCATAAACCCCAATGAAATGAAAATGAAATGAAATGAAACCCCAATGTACGATCGGGTGGTAATTAGTCTTTTGGCTGTCAAGTATTTTGAGTCACAGCATTTGAATAACAGTTAATTATTTTCATTAAAGGTAGCCATGTAATAGTAATTTAAACTGATTTTACAATCCTTTTCCGTTACCTAATGAAACGATTTTTTGTTACGCTTTCTCTTGATTTTTTTTTCTGTCTTCATTTGAGTTGCTCCAATTCTCGATTTTCAACTATGCTTTTATTTTGAAGGGCACCACACTTCTGTTCTACGTTGCAGTCTGCTGGGGAGGAAGCATCAAACACAAAGATGCAACAAAGTGGTGAAAAAGGCTGGCTCTGTGGTTGGACTCAAGCTGGACTCAGTGGAGGATGTGGTGGAGAGATCTACACTGAGGAAGGTGGAGTCTATTCTAAAGAACATGGATCACCCACTTCACAACACCTTGATGGACCAAAGGGCCAATGGTGGTGGACGGCTCTTCTCTCTTTGCTGCAGGACAGAAAGATTCAGGAGATCTTTTGTACCAACAGCCATTAGACTTTAAAATTTTTGTGTAAATAGTAGATGACTTTTGGAGAAATAATATGTGAGACAACAGACGATTGAATTTTCCTTTAGGGATGAATAAAGGTCTTCTTATTCTTATTCTTTTGGTAAATGGTGAGTTAGGTAACAGTAGAGAAAGATCATTGAATGTCAGTTTTTGAAATGTCTAAACATCTCTCATCGGGCTGCTACAGCTAGCTCCCTGGCAGCTGCTGCTTCTTCTTCATCTGTCTCTTTTTTTGCGTATGGTAAAAGACCATTACTATGATCTCACTTTATCACTGTATGCTCATCTTAGCACAATAGCAATATTAAATTATTTAAAAAAAGGCAGTGATCATAAATCGCCACAGCTCTCTTAGTCTTAAGCTCAAAGTGACATATCTCTGAGGGTAGGAACAACACAAGTAAAGGTCTGCACAGGATAAAACAACATAAATAAACACTACAAACTGCTTGAAGTCCTGTTAGACAAAGAAGCTAACATGCAGCACAGGAGGCAAAACAGGGGGTGTTTAGAGGCATTTTTAATAAAGAATATTAATGTCATTATTCACCACAAAAACTTTGTTGACAGACCATAACAAAGATGGCACTTTTAGGCACTCTCATTTAACAACAAGCTCCATATCTCTAAAATCTACACCAAAATGAATCTTCTTTTTGAGGAACTGGATCCAGGAAGTTCCTGAAAACAAAAAAGGCTTCTCTGCAGGATTGAAAAGTCCCTTGATATTGCAGAAAACTTCCTTCATGTTCCCTTTAAACAGTGAGCTCAGTAATATCAAAGTCCTCCTCTTTTATGAACCACACTAACGTCCAAAACAATTTAGTGGCTACACTCTCCAGTTTTTCCCAAGTCCCATATTGTGCTTGGTGCACAGTTTCCACCTTCTGATTAATAAATTATGAGTAATATGAGACCATCCACGTAGTTCTGATGACTGGCACTGCAGATGTGTGAAATTGCATTTTTTTGATGATCATAACAAGTCTATATGAGAGCGGATGTGTAATGCAGACGACCTCCCGCTGTTTTAGAACTCATTTTATTAAGAGACGAGGTGTGACTGTGAAACAAATGGTACCTACAGGACTGCCTCATGTTCTTCTGGCATCAAAAGTCTGAGCCAAACCATTAAACATTAAAGTGTAAAGTTCTGATGAGAAAGTCATGAATAAAGTGTTGGAGTTTTTCTGTCTCCAGAGGATCTAAAACCGTCGCTTTCAAAACTTTCATCACTAATCATGATACATGGTGAAATATGGGAGAAGCTTTCCGCAGGTATTTGTAACACCTCAGTTTAATCTTGATTCAAGTGTTATGCTGATTTCCTTTTCCTGCCAAACAAACCTGGCAAAGAATTGAATTAAAATCGACTGATAAAGAGGGCTTTGGTTCCCCGAGGTTGAGATAACAATAAGACTGTTTTTGAAAATCATTGGGAAGCTTCAGATGTAAGATTAAAAAATAATTGAGCAGAAAATTAAAAATGAAAACCATGGAAGGTTTTGCTTGAAGTGCTGAAAACTAATACAGCATAAGAGCTTTATATTGAGATTCAGTTCAGCTCTCGAGCACTCAAGTGTTAGATGTTGGTTGATTCTTCAGATATTATCCTCAGCAGAGATCTCAAACAAGCAAAGCGAGTGAATACTGATCATAGTCAGAGTGACCAGAGTTGTATATGCTCATAAAAAGGCCTAAAGGTGGCATATGCCTCTTCCAAAGCAAGGTTTGGGATGGTTGATAGACTGTGTTTGCATAGTCAAGTCTAATCATTTAAATTACTTTTATATCACATGTCACATTTACACACTGACGGCAGAGGCCGCTGTGTAAAGAATTCATCAGTTTTGGACTAGTTCCATTCACGCACCACTGGGATCGAACCTTTAACCTTCTGATTAACAGGCCATGAACTCTACCGTTGAGCCACAGCCACCGAAAGTCAAAAGACATATATCAGATTCTGACTTTTTCTCTGAATTCTGATGTTGGTCCATCAATTATTCAATGCTCCATGCAGCCTAGATTTCAACTACCCCAGGTGCAGCAATCACACGAGGAACAAGACGACACCGCCATTAAAGGACTCAAGAAATAATTGTCAAAAATAACTGTATTAGTATTCTTGATCCATAAGGTTATTTTTAGTAACTTTCCCTTAAGGGCTTCATTTGGATGACTTTATTTTGGTTGCTTTTGTTGCCATCTAGTGGCCAAAAATCACGCCCTCTCACTTTAAATACAGTAGGGTACACAGGTTTGGAAACATATGAATATCGTTTACTTTCTACATATGCACTTATCAATCCCTTTCCATTACAGGGAGTGAAACCATAAAACACATGTTGCAGATGCATCAGTGACCAGGATATATGTTTTTTCAGCAGCTGCTCTTTTAATTTTTTATCAATCTCGTATTCACTGCTGTAGTATATCAAGCATTTCTTGTTATTAAGATTGATGTTGACCCTTTGCCTCCTTCCTGCTTACAGTAGCTGTCTATCAAACTCTGATCATGAGAGCTTGAGGAACCAGAATACGAGCGGATCAGAAGGCCGAGATAAAAGGGATTTCTGAGAGTGAGCCGGGAGAGGCAGAGATGGGATGTATAATAACACTGTGAAGATAATAACGCTTCCAGCAAATCTGAACTGCACTGTTGATTTTGACAGATGGAGAGTACATCTTACATCAGTATATCTTTGACAGTGATGCTCATTTGCACAAACGAGAACCTGAGATTTAACAGTGAGACTTTGCGCATCAATAAGCTCATTTTTCCATCATATTAATCAAATGATGCCCCTCAAGTTAAAAACATGTGTAAGTGTTAAGAGAACATATTTATCTGGGCGCTCCAAAACGTTTTATAGAAGTATCTATAGAAGTTTAGATAAAATATAGTTTCGCCTCTTGTAGGGAGTATCTTTCACATGGTTTAATTCTTTTTATTGTTAATGTGAAAAAATTATTGTTTTCCTCTCTCCTCACTTCACTGTGCGGAGCGACAAACTTTGAAAGGTATCCATGGTGGTCAATGCCACGATCTATGTGACCTCTTAAGTTTTGAATTATGCCGTCTTTTATGTATTTAGCATTTATAGTTCCAGCAAAACAAGGAATTTTCATTTCTGTGAGTGAAAAAAATGCCCTTTTGTACAAAACTGGTTCTGTATAATGCAGGAGCCCTGAAGACCTGAATAAAATATAAAACTATAAAAACTGAATAAAGATATAAAAAATAAAACCTGAAAAAAATCTCTGCAAAGATATTTATACAGATAACAGAATATTTCTTTTTACACTGATTTTCAAACAGCTAATATTTGAGCTCAGATTCTCTTTTGTCAGAGCTTAAAACATTCATTATGAGTTCATCTTAATGCCTCGCATGAAGGTTTACAGCAGAAAAAATCAGAACAAAATTCAAAACATTGAATGTCATTGAATGTCCTCTGGAAATATTCCCTTCATTTACAGGAGGGGCACAGAGCATCAAAAGTTTAAAGACATTTGCTCCTTCTGCCCACTTCAGACACATTACTATACGATATGGTTTGAATAATGAATGCAGAAATGGAATTTATGCATTTAAATGAGTTCAGGGGCCTCCATGCTGTGCTGTGCATTCAATGAGAGACATTTGGTGAGTTAAGTATGAATCCTTGAATGAGTTCAGTGCAGCCTTCAAGAGTGATACCTTGTTTGCCCTTTCAGTTCAGAGCACAAGACTATGAGGCTGTTATGAAAGTGTGAATAAAGCAGAAAATAATTTGAATGTTTGTTTAAGAGATGTTATGCATCTTCAGAAGATTAAAAGCTTTTACAGAATTCATGAAGGTGACAGGCAAGGTAATGCTTTGAGGGTTTCAAAGTTGAGTGATATATTATACTCAAGGTTATTGAAGGGACGATGGTACAGTATATGAGGTGTGCATAATTTTTTTAAGTTACACGACCACCTATAAAGTGAAATACTTGGATCAGCTTCAACATTATGACCACCTTCCTCATAATGTTTGAGATCCTGGGCTCTGTCAAAGCCCAGTACAAGTGTCATTGTTATTTTCTACAAAAGCAAAAAAACAAATAAGCTCAAACTCATATTGGTGCCCACAGATGTTTTGGTTTTGAAATGAGATGTGGTTGGACACAAAGATGGCAGGATTCTTTCTTGTCAATGCAGAAGACACCTAAGCCTTACAAAGTACAAAACTCTGGTCCTGGTCTGAGGATGTCCTCATTGCTATCTCCTCACAGACTCCCTCTAAGCTCTCCATCATGCACACTCTTGGATATCTGCATGAAAAGACATGACTGCTAACTTGAAATGCCACAGATACTTACAGAAAATAAATAATTTCCTTTCCACATGCAGAAGATAAGTGGAAAATAAGTGAGATTAAAAAGATTAATATCCTACCTGTCTTTGTCCCAAGTTAGTGTCACATTTAAGCAAAGTGTAAAACAAGACTAAAGTAGGGGTTTTGATTTACAAAAGGCCAAATATAAAAAAGACCTTCTTTGCTAAGTCCAATCTTAAAAAAATGAAACACATAAAACTCAGGTAGGAGGTGATGCTGGAAAAAACGCAGCCGGATACAACTGACACAGAAAGAGGGTGGTTGGAAGTTCCCAGAAAGCAATCTCAAATAATCACCAATTTTCTCTAGACAACAATAGTGGTTTTTAAAACAGCAGGTCTGATTTTTGGAGGATAGAAAAGCTGTTTTTCCCTCAGGAAACAGCTAACATGTTCAATTCAGTTCCATTTACTGAAAAAACACGTTTACCAAAAAGCGGACAAATCACAGAGTCATGAATACAACATGATACAAACATTAAGATTTTGCACCTTCTTGATAATTTTGTATGGGGACATATTGTGCAGATGGACAGTTTAAAAAAGGACTGTTTTTGATTAATTATTTGCTGCTTCTGTTTCTCAGCCTTGTTTCTGAGGTGACGTAAAGCCTGTGGGCCCGGAGGTTTTTGTTCTTCCGACAGCTGAGGGTGAAACCGCTGAGTGACAGTTAAATGAGGTTGAAAAGCTGCTCTGCTTCACATCCTCGAGCTGAGCCGTCATCCTCAAGCTAAGCCCTCTTCTAAAACATAACATGTCTCCTTTTAAAAACTGTAATTTACAGCTACATGCTGAGCAGACTGAGCACCAAGTTAAATGTATACATTCACGGATGGGGTGTCTTTTAAATTAGCTCTCAGAAAGTGCTCTTTCATGGTTTTCATGCCATCTCCATGAAGCTCTTTTTTCTGCAGACCCCAGAGGATTGCAGGAATGCAGATGGATGGTTTCCCTTCATGCCTGCTTGGTCAAGAGGGTATGTGTGGGCAGGCTGCAAAATGGACTGTCTCCTTTTCACAGGCAGTTCATCTCCTGTATGAAATTCAGAAAGCACATTCAGCTGCTTCTTTGATAACCTCTTTTTTTCTCTAAATTGTTCTTCTGTGTCACTCTGATAAAAGGTGTGCCTGTATAAGTACCATGAAAGACTTTAATTGGGGTGAAATATGGAGAAAAAAACCAGAAACATCACAAGCTTTTCAAATGAGAGGAATTTCACCTGAAATAACTTTTCCTTTTGAAGTTCAGAAACATTGGCATTCACAGCAGCACATGCTCGGCATACTTCTGCCTTTGCCTTGTGACACACTGCAGAGATTTGTGTACTGTGTGACGAAACATGGCACAGATTCTGTCACTGCCTGTACAAAAGCAACAGCCTCAGGGGGCGAGCAAGAAAGAGCCAAATTCTGTGCCTAAAGTTACCACTTGAGACCTGTTTCTGGGTGGAGGGAGTGTTTGGGGCGCTGATAGCTAGTCACTGCTGCCCTTTTAAATAATAAATGACCAGCAGAAACAGGACGCCCAGGTATGCTACCTTTTTCTGTAGACACTCTCTAAAATCCCTTGGGTTATTTCTTCAACCCAATTCCAGGGTTATTCGTGTTGAGTTTAATTTCTGGGTGATTTTTCAGATCCATACCCATTTCTTGGTTCATATGGATTCCATTGTAACCCAATTAGAGGGTTTTTTGAATGGGTTATTAATAATGGGTTATTTTTTTGAGAGTAACCCAAGAATTGGGTCAGAACGTTGGCTTCAATTGACTTTCGGGGTTTCTAGGCCTAATGGCAATTAAAGTGACATATAT